TGATTTTATATCATTGATGCTTTATTTCTGTGAGTTTCCTGTTCAGGGTATAGGAAGCGAGATGGGCGTATGATCGATTAGGAATATCTTCTCATGGTGTCCTCTATCCATTGGGTGTATCTGCATATTGCCGTGAAGACAACGGGGTTCAGGGATGGAGTCGAAGGTCCCCGGGACACTAGGCCTCGCAGGGCGCCGTTGCACACCAGTGGTCCCCCTGAGTCCCCCTGGACGGGAGAGAGAGAGCAGATTAGTTTTGGCTTCAGAGCAACCAGCACCGAGGTCTCCTACACCCCATGGTGATGGGGTCTTGGTCCTGCCAGACCACAGTCTTTCACCCTGACCAATGGGAGGACACTCCTTGTCTCTGTGGACCAATGGGAGAGCAGGAATGAAGGCGGTCATGCAGAGGACCAGCCGGGTTTTCTGAAGACATTGACTTGAGTCCCAGCCGAGGGGAACAATCACAGGGAGGGGGGGGGGCTCCCCAGAAGAAAGAGCTTCATCTATTTTCCATCCTCAAAGACTCTTCCCCAAGCCACTGGGAGAGGGAGCATTGTCTCCAGGGAACCTATACACTCCCTTTCCCAGGAGTCGGGGGAAGGGTAGTCCTGGAAACCAGGGGCAGTGGTCCAATTCACAGGGTCCAGTGCACAATGAAAATGCCGACCCCCACATTCAAATGAATGAATTTCAAGGCAGCAAGGGGAGTGAGTGTGTTAGGGCAGGTGTGGGATGGTCCGGGAGTGGGGCGGGGCTCTGTGTCCCAGAACATCTTGCACATTCATGAATCAGGCCTCCCTGTGGGACAAAGGGGAATGCCCTTACTGTTCTTTAGGACACACAGTCCTGTACCATCACCTGTGTGTGCGTGTCTGTGTGTGTGTGTGTGTGTGTGTGTGTGTGTGTGTGTGTCTGTCTCCCTCTCTCCCTCCAATCCTCATCCAAGAATATGTTTGTACTGATTTTACAGAGAGAGGAAGGGAGAGAGAGAACCATGGATGTGAGAGAAAAGCATTGATCGTTTGCCTCCCATAAGTGCTCTGACTGGATGGATGGAACCCACAACCTTTTGGTGAGCAAAAAAAAAAATGCTCAGATCAGCTGAGGTGCCCGGCCAGGGCCACACCCCTCTTTTAACACACTCCATCCCCCTGCTGCTGAAAGCTGAGAGTGCAGATGTGAGCAAAGAGATTGGGGATGGGGAGAGAAACAGAGAGGGGTAGAGACAAGCATAGAGGGAAGAAAGGGAAGGAGGAGGGGGGCAGAGACGCAGAAATGTTGTGGATGCAGAAAGAGGCGGAGATGGAGAAAACGAGTGACAGGCAGAACACTGAGAGAGGGAGAGGGAGGGGGGAGAGACAGAGAGAGAGAGAGAGAGAGAGAGAGAGAGAGAGAGAGAGAGAAAATGAGGTGTAAAGAGAGATGAGGGGAGGTGATTCTCAGAGAGGAGGATACAGAGATGGGGAAGGGGGAACAAAGAGGAGGGGGGTTCCTTTTCCTGGAACCAGGGCCAGGTACAAAGATAACAACCAAGCTATTTGCTTGGGGGGGCGGGGGGCAACTCAGGGTTTGCAATGAGTATTTTAATGCAATCCCTTAAATATTAAAATGCGTATGAAAAATCCATGACAAACAGGTTATCCCAACTTCAGACAAACACAGGGTTCCTGCCTTGCTGTGCTGGACCAGATTAGAGCCAGAAGCGATGGGAAAATCCAGTCAAAACAGATTGCTTTCTGCTGAAATTCCTGATATTCTGTTGATCATGGATTTTGTTTAATAGATTCTACTTTTAATCATTCCATTAGAATATAATTTATGTCAGTGACTGAGCGCTTGGCATCCCCTAAAAGTCTGTGCCTGTAGCCGGTTCCTCACTCCCCTTCCCCAAGTCCCAGCCCCATGTTTTTTTACTCCAGTTCCTCCCCTTGGACTGTGTGCCCACCCCCAGCTTCCAGGGGCTCCCACGCTGACCCGGGCAGAGGACTGAGTAGAGAGGGTCAGAAAAGTGGGGTGTGCCCGGCCAGGTGTGGCTCAGCAGTTGAGCATAGCAGTTGAGGTCACCAGTTCGATTCCTGGTCAGGACACATGCCCAAGTTGCAGGCTCAGCCCCAGGGTGGGGCATGCAGGAGGCAGCCGATCCATGATTCTCTTTCATCATTGATGTTTCTATCTCTCTCTCCCTCTCCCTTCCTCTCTGAAATCAAGAAAAATATATTTTTTTAAAAAAAAAAGAAGAAGAAATGTGAGGCGTGTGGGGGTGCGAGGGGGAACCCAGCACCAGGGTCAGCCCGTGGTGGGGATTCTGGATGGTGGGGAAGACGGGCCCTGTGCTGAGAGGAAGCAGGACCAGGGCAGGGGCGGGCTGGCTCTTACCACGTAGGCGTTGGTGTTGCTGGTGTGGGTGCCACCGCAGACCATGTAATGCCTCTTCAGGTACAGGAAGTGCCTCCGGCAGTCCTCCAGGCGGATGATGGTGACATTTGTGCACATGAGCTCTGATGGATAGGTCTCTGGAGGAGGAGAGAGGGGACAGTCGGAGGCCTGGTCTGCAAGCCCGCACCTGCTAAGGGGACCCTGAGAGAGGGCGACCGGAGGGGCTCAATGCCAGGGCCGTGCAAAGGACCCAGTCCTCTGACTCGAGGTCAGATGGAGGAAGGGCCTTGCATCTGGCACTCCTGGGTCTGAAGAAGAAGATGAGGAGGGGTCGATAGTCCTGGCTTTGAGGGAGGGAGGAGGGTGCTGGGTGTCAGGGCCCTTGGTCTGAGGAATGAAGGGGGCTGGGGGGCTGGGCTCTTGTGTGTCAGATGGAGGAGGCAGCTGGGGGCCTGGAGACTTGGGTCCGCAGGCGGAGGCCCCTGGGGCCAGTACTCCCATGTCTGAGGGAGGAGGGGCTAGAACCTGGACACGCCCAGGCCTCTGCAGATCCAGCTGCGGGACAGAAGTCTGTGGTCTGAGCGAGGAGGTCACTAAGATCCTGGACGCCAGCAGGGATGGGGTGGAAACCTGTGTGTGTGTGTGTGTGTGTGTGTGTGTGTGTGTGTGTGTGTGTGTGTGTTGTGGCTTCCGGATCGAGGGGAGGAGCCCCCAGAAGCCGGGACTCCTGGATCTGAGGGAGGCGGGAGCCAGGGTGTGGAGACTCTGGTTCTGAGAAGGAGGGGGCTTGAAGCCTGGTGGACTGTGTCTCAGGTAGGAGGGGGCCTGGATTCCAGCTTCCTGGACATGACTTAGGACAGGGCTGGGGATCTAGACGCCTTGGTCTCTGGGAGGAGGGACAAGAGGCCTCCTGCGTCTGAGGGAAGGGAACGCTGGAGCCAGGGCTGCGGGGCCCCAGGGGTCCTCTCACCAAAAGGGCTGCCGGTGGTGCTGCCCCAGCCGGAAACCAAGCACGTGGTCCCAGGGCTCGTGCATTTGGGAGAAATGGCGAGTGTCCTCACGGTGGATGACAGCGTGGCCGGGCGGCTCAGCTTCACAAGCATGATGTCATGCACCTTCTTGGCGCCGTCAAACTGGGGGTAGACGAAGGACTCCGTGGCCCTGATCACCTGGGCGTTGGGGTCATTCAACACATCGCTGCCCATTTGCACGTTGTAGGCACTGCGACCACAGAGAGACCCGCGGTGACTGGGGTTGGGGGGGTGGGGGTGGGGGCAGCCCTAGGAAGACAGGGACACACAGAGAAAGGTAGAGAGGGACCCGACGTAAAAGGGGGACAGAGACCCAGAGTATGGTGGCGGGGGGGGGGGGGGGGGGAGAGACACCGGGAGAGGGGCAGGGGCCCAGGAAGAGGGGGAGACACAGACCGAGAGAGAAGCAGGAGCAGAGACGCAGAAAGAGAGCCGCGATCCCCAGGCTCCCGGGCACCTACAGCTGTCGGCAGTGGCCCACGGTGAGCACCCACTGCGCGTGGATCAGCACCCCCGTGCACTGCGTGTCCCTGCCGCGCATCAGGGCCACCTGCCAGGGGTGGAAGCCTCTTGAGCACGGCGCTCCATTAACAATCCTTTCCCCGTTGCCGTGGGCTGGATGGAGACAAGGAGGAAGTGTGGGGAGCAGGCCTCAGGGGAAGGCTGAGGCCACAGCAGATGGATGCCCAGAGACAGTGATGGAGACAGACAGACAGAGAGGCGTGGAGAAGGGCAGAGGCAGACACGGAGCCCAGGGCAGACACAGCTGCAGACGGAGATGGAGAGAGACGGAGGGAGGCTGCTCAGAAGCCCAGGGCACCAGCTGGTCTGGAGGCAGCCCCAGCTTCTGATGAGAGAGACACTGAGGGCGGGAAGCAGCCTGGAGGGCACCCAGAGCCCAGGAGTCAGGAGGGAGCAGGAAGGAAGGGGCACAGCCCAGGGGGCGGGTCTCCATGGGAGGAGGCTGCTGCAGGGGAGGGTCCTGACTCAGGGGCTCCTTGGAGAGAGGGGGCCTGGAAAGGGGAGGTGGGGGACTGTGAGGCCCAAGGTCAAGGGCAGGACTCCCAGGCTGGTCCTCACCTTCTTGTCCAGCAGATCCCAGGGCGAAGGACAGCAGTAGGAGCAGCAGGGGCTGGAGCAGGGGACCTGCCATGTGTCCTGTCTGAGTCTCTGTGGCTGCCACAGAGGAAGGGCCTCCTGTGCTGGGGCTGGAGAGACAGAGAGTTCAGGAAGCAGGACGGGGAGCACCCACTGCTCATGGGTCAGCACACCTGGTCCTTAACCCCTTCCCTCCTCAAACCCAGGCTTCCCAGTCTGTGCCCACGTCCTCCCTCAGACCAGGAGCGCAGTGGAAAAAAAGTCCCCTTCCTCACACTCAGATGTCCAGGCCCCACACTCCCTTGCACTTGGAACCCCAGGGGTTCTGGCTTTCCATCCCTCCACATCCATAACTCAGCATCTCAAATTCCTTTTAGGCAGAAAGATAAAAAAAATAATAATAATTCCTGACCTCCAGCCCCTCACCTATATGTGACTACCAGCAGTTCCGGCTCCTCCTCCTCTCTCTGTAGGAGCAGGAGTCAGCTGCCCACCCAGGTCACCTGCCCCGCCCCACCGGGGACTCCTCCTCACCTGCAGACTCCTCCTCACCTGTAGACTCCTCCTCACTGCAGCTGGGCTCAGGTTGTGTTGGGAGCCAAGCCAACCGCGTCCACTTTTGTGCAGGCTGGCTCTTTTATAACACACCAGTCCCCTGTCCCCTCCCCGCACCCTGCCCCAACCGGCAGGGTCCTAGTGCGCAGGTGCACTCACCTCAGAGACACCCTACCCGCATCTGTTCTTATCTAAAACGCCTCAAGCAGCTAAAGCAACAGGCCCATACTCTACCTCCACCTGCCCTACAGCAGCCACACTCTACCTCCACCGTGACTGCTCACCTGCCTTCTACCTCTACCCGCATCACTTGGCCCGAATTCTACACCCGTCCTCACCAACCAGGACAGGTAAAGGCAAGTCCAGGGTTGGCCCAGCACCTTCTAGCTCCACCATTCCTAGTGGCAGCTACCAGGTGCGGGCCCTGAGGGGCAGGAGCCAGAGTCAAGGACCTGCACAGCTCAGAATTGGAATTCACCCTGGGGTCACCTCTGTGGTCCATTTTCTTGCCTTCACCCCCGCCCCCCTCCTAGGGTTGGCCTGGACCCTACACTCTCACTCTAAGCAGCCGGTGGGAAGTTTTCCAGGCTGAATCCTAGACGTGTCTTTGAGTCTGAACCAAAAAAACCAACCCTTACATGAGGGTATGAATTAAAAAGGGAAGGTTTTCCCCAACTTCACTCAGGAAATGCTTACTGTTATCTCTTACTCTTCTGTCTCATATTACACATAGATTTCTACACATACTGTGTATTTGTAACAAACAATGACCGTAGTAAGTATTCTCTTATGTTAAATTTTATTTACTCAATCATATATCCTGAACATTGTCCTCTGGCTTACAGTTGCATTATTTCTTCTTTATTGATAATGTTGTGTAATACTTCACACTAGGGCACCATTAGGATTCATGTGATTTATTTCACATTGACGTACATTTGAGTAGTTGCCCTTATAATACAATTTCTCGGCACGATCATCTTTGCTCGTTGCATTCATTCAAGAAGGACCCAGTGAGCATTGACGCTGAGCCAGAAACTATTCTGGCCCTTGAGGACCCAGCATCCACAAAAGAGAAACACTGTTTCCCACAGAGGGTCTTGTTCCAATGGGTGGAGCAAGTAGAAAAATAAGAACTTAAGCCCTAGCCAGTTTGGCTCAGTGGATAGAGCGTTGGCCTGCAGACTGAAGGGTCCCAGGTTTGATTCTGGTCAAGGACACATGCCTGGGTTGCTGGACATGCTGGAGGCAGCCAGTCAGTGATTCTCTCATCATTGATGTTTCTACCTCTCTATCCCTCTCCCTTCCTCTCTGAAATCAATAAAAATATATTTTTTTAAAAAAGAAAAATAAGAACTTAAAGTAAGGTGGTTGTCAGGTGGCAGTACATGCTGTGGAGGACAGCAAGAGGAGGAGGGATAGGGAGTGATTGGGTCTCTCCCCCTGAAGCTACAGTGTTTAGGTGAGACCATTACAAGACTCCAGGTGAAGAGGGATCTGAACAAGATCTTGAAGGATGTGGTGGATCCATCATGTAGCTACTTGGGAGCCGGGAGTGAGTCCCCGATAGAGTGAACACATAGGTGAGATGTGATGAGGCACCCCAGGATGCCCTAGGGCAGCTGTGGGCCCACTGGCCGGATCCGGTCCATTTGAAATGAATAAAACTAAAAAAAAAAAAAAAGACCGGATCAGGTCCATTTGAAATGAATAAAACTAAAAAAAAAAAAAAAAGACCGTACCCTTTTATGTAATGATGTTTACTTTGAATTTATATTAGTTCACACAAACACTCCATCCATGCTTTTGTTCCCGCCCTCCGGTCCAGTTTAAGAACCCATTGTGGCCCTCGAGTCAAAAAGTTTGCCCACCCCTGCCCTAGGGGGAAGCTATTTTGACTAGAACGGAATGAGCCAAAGGGAGAAGGGGTCACCTGGGGTCAGAGACAACACGGGACTCAGACCACACAAGGATTGAGGACCAAGGGAGGAGGTTGGTTTTACTTTGAGCGAGATGGGAACCATTGTCGGATTATTACCAGACACCCAACTTCTTCTAATAGTGGAGTTGACACCCCCCACCCCCACTTCTAAATCAGTCCCCAAAATATGACTCATTCACCACCTGAGCCCAGTCCTGACCTCTAACCCAATTCTACCCCTGGCCCATAATTGGTCTCATAATAGACATTGTTGTTGCCTACCCAAACATTCACTCCTTCTGCCATTGATTTACTTGGGATAGCCTGCTGTCCTCCTGTGACCACAAATGAGCTTTTTAAAAATATGTATATTTTTTTATTGATTTTTCTACAGAGAGGAAGGGAGAAGGAGAAGGATAGAGAGTTAGAAACATCGATGAGAGAGAAACATCAATTCAGTTGCTTCCTGCACACTCCCTACTGGGGATGTGCCCACAACCAAGGTACATGCCCATGACCGGAATCGAACCTGGGACCCTTCAGTCCGCAGGCTGACGCTCTATCTGCTGAGCCAAACCCGTCAAGGCCACAAATGGGCTTTACTGCACCAAGCGTGGGAGCCTGTGTCTGCGGTCCAGGGATTGTTTAGAAATGGACATGTGGTGCAGTTCTGGCCAAAGAAGAGTGAAGGGAAGACCACAGGGTTACTTCTGGAAACAGCTCTCTTCTTTCCAAAGCGAGACACGAGAAGCGTTCTCCTTCTCTCTGTTAGTGTCCCTCATGGGTGTAAATTCTGGAAGTGAGGCAGCCTCCTGGAACCATGGAGAGAAGTGGCCATTAGACAAAGCCATAGCCCTGTAGATGGACAAACAGAGAGATGGAGATAGGGTCTTTGATGAGTTGCTGAGATGGTGAATTAACACTCCATGGAGCCCCTTCATCTCCTACCATGTTCAGGTTTCCCTCTGGCTTGGAGGTTTTTCTAACCATATTTTTTTATTGATTTCAGAGAGGAGGGAGAGGTAGAGAAAATAGAAACCATGATGAGAGAGAATCATTGATCGGCTGCCTCCTGCACGCCCCCCACTGGGGATCGAGCCCACAGCCCAGGCATGTGCCCTGACTGGGAATCCAACTGTGACCTCCTGGTTCATAGGTCGATGTTCAACCACGGAGCCACGCTGGGCGAGCTGGTAGGGAGGGGTTTTTTGTTGTTGTTGTTCCTACAACCAAACTCTTTCTTATTTGGGGCTCAATGTTTACTCAAAGTCGCAGGTAAGATGCCAAATCCAATCCCAAACTATGAATGTAACTTTAATGCAAATTAGAATCCCTATGTGGAATCCAAATTAACCAACAAAGCCAACCTGACCTTCAGTGGTAGCTCTTCCTCCAGCCCTTTTCCTACAACCTCTTTCAGACCCAATCATTTATACACTTAGAAAATACATATACAGGCGAGCTATACACCAGGCTGGGCTAGGTGCTGAGGCTATAGTGGCGCTCAATCCTGGACACAAAGAATGCCTTCCTTCAAGGAACTAACAGCCAAGTGTAAAAGGAAAGACAATCACATCACTGATATGCACATGTAAATGTATAACTTTAATGTGTGCTCTGAAGTAACTGTGCAAAGGATTGTGAAAGCACTTCCGGGGGTAGGCAGGGGGGTTGAACCAGGAAGTAACAAATAGTGAGTGTGGGTAGAACAATAAGCATAAACTAGAAAAAATGTAAAGAATTTGCAGGGCGTCATGTAGGGAAAAGAGCAGGCGCAAAGGTCTGAGATGGAAGGCGAGTAAGGACGGAGCTCAGAGAACAGAGGTCAACGGACCCAGAGAATGAAGGACCTTTAGGTCGTGGTGAGTTGAACTTTATGTTGTGGGCGATGATGAACAGCTAGGACTTTGTTCAGAGGAGTCACGTATAGGATTGGTCTTTTCAAAATGTCAATCTGGCTGCTCTATGAAGGAAGGTAAGAAGTGGATGTGGAGTCAGAAAGGGGCCATTGCTATTTCACCATCAAATGAGAGATGATGGTGACTAAGATAAGGCCATTGGGGAGATGGAGATGGTAATAAGGAGATGAATTCAGGATGCGTTCAGGAGGGAAAGTCAACAGGCCACGGCAATGTTTTGAACGGAAGTTGTGGTGAGGAAGATGGCGATGATAGGGCTTCAAAGTCTCTTGCTTGGTGGATACGGTGCCATTCAATGAGAAGACATGGCCAGATCTGATCAAGAGCTCATGGGAGGGTGAGAAACACCGCAGTCCCTGGTTTCAACCATACTCCCAAGTGTAGTCTTGACTTAGAAACAACTCTCAACTCCAATGTTTACACAAGCCCGGGGTCTTAACCTGCAACCTCAATGGTACTCAATCCTAACCCTCAGAATTTCTTTATCCTTGACCGAGTCCAATTTATACCGCAACATGGCACCTACTTCCTGACCGAGCTCCTGACTCCAGATGTCGACTCAAGCCCCAGCTCTCACATCAAGCAACTTGATCATGACTCTTGACTTGAACCCTGAACCCTTGAACATAAGTCAAGCTCAACCTTGACCCAAACACTAGGTGTCACCAGTGTGTCAATTCCAAACCTGATCTCAGGCACAACTCCGACCTTCGGCGGCATTCCTCACGTTCCAGGAAGTCTACTTGGACATCCTTCTAGCACAGAGGTTCTCAACCTGTGGGTCGCGACCCCTTTGGGGGTTGAACAACCCTTTCACAGGGGTCACCTAAGACCATCGGAAAACACATATATCATTACCTATTGTTTTTGTGATGAATCACTATGCTTTCATTATGTTCAATTTGTAACAATGAAATTGGGGGTCACCACAACATGAGGAACTGTATTAAAGGGTTGCAGCATTAGGAAGGTGGAGAACCACTGTTCTAGTAGAATCATCTCCCATTTACATTTGACACCAATCCTAACTCTTTGACCCAAATTCCAGGCCTATTCTCATGGCGAACCTAATTTCTAACTGACATCTCAACATCATTTTTATGCCCAACTCTTACCCCCCAACCGTTCATCACCTCTCTATGCGACCTTCACAAAACTCTAACACAAAGTCTACAAACTAACAACATTCTAACGTTGATCCTATACTGACTAAATAAAGCCAAGCTAAGTTCCCAGACCTACCTCTGAAGACCTTCCTAGCCTCTTAGGTGAACCAATCCCTTCTGTGCTTCAGCCAGTTTGAATGGGGCTCTGACAAGAAGAACATGATCCCCAGTAGGGGGCATGCAGGAGGCAGCCAATCAATGATTCCCTCTCATCATTAATGTTTCTATCTCTCTCTCTCCCTCTCCCTTCCTCTCTGAAATCAATAAAAATATATATT